TCCTTGTGTCTCATGCTAAAGCAAGAGTCTAATTAATTTTAACGATTGTCCTGTATTCTTTCATGCAGCTAAATGTGGTGTTATGAACGAATGACCTAAATGTGTAAATATGACTTAATATGTCTCTGTGCGTTTGTTGCCTGTCTGTATATTTACCTTCTGTCTGTCTCATTTAGGCCAGCCACGTCTCAAATGTCCGTTAATGTCTTTCTTTTACTCATGGCGTCTTTCAATGTCTTTTGTCTCATAGTGTCCAATGTCTTTGTCTCCATGTCTTTTTTCTTCTTCTTTCAACAATCACTTTCTTTCTTCTTCCGATAACTCTTTCTCACAATGTCTTTCTTCTTCTTGTTTGGTTTTCCGGCGGTTGGCGGCCTATTCTTCGCATTACCGCCACCTTCTGTTTCGTGGATGGGACAACACTCAGTTTGTGAAAAAGTCTGCGGTCTTTTCTTTGCCTCCTCACAGGCAGGAGGAGTCTTCTTCGAGAGTTCCTGTTAGCTGCTGCAGCCGATGCTGCCCCCTGCGACCCGCAGGGAGAGGGGGAGACGCTGATGATGATGATGATGCTCGGTTGTGGTTTGTGGCAGGGACGATTTTTGGCCAAATGAAACAGACAGAAGTTTTCTCGGAAAAAACAGACAAACAAGAAACACAAACAAGTGTGTTAATTACCATACCAAACCAATGATTAATTACAATTCAAAATAAACCTATGAAATAATTACTATTAACATTTTAAACATTAAATTCTGAAAACCAAATCTGCATTCAACTACTATCCTAAGCCCTATTTTTCCAAAAGTATAATGCTCTCTAAGATCATTCTAACTTTTATATCACCAAAATGTAGGGAAAAAAACTTGTCTAGACGCCTTGGAGATAAAAAATAAAATAATGCCTCTTTATAATCTAACTCAAAGTTCTGTGATCCTATGACTCCATGTCAGTAACATTATCGTGTGTATAAATGTAATTTTCTACAAAAAATTCTTTCTTCACGAGAGAGAGAGAGAGAGAGAGAGAGGGAGAGAGAGAGAGGACAGAACGAGGGAGGGGAGGGGCCTCCCGAACAAAGGAAGCATGGAGTCAAATACTTTTCTCGTTTTTCTCGTGACAAGGTTCTAAATCAGTGGTAAAAGTTTTTCTCACGTCAAACGACACTTTACATTTTATCCTTAAATACGTCAGTAATGGAAAACATTACTATTTGCTACCTGATTAATGTATCGAGGGTTCCAGCAGAATCTTTTTTTTTTTTCCCTGATTCGCTGTAACTATCGAAACATTACATCAGAATACAAGAGAAAAACTCCCAGACTGATCTTTTGTCATTTCTTCACATGAAACTCGTATACTACAGCCAAGTGGCTCCTTCTTTTCTCATTAATCAGATCATTATTATCAGAATCCACATTTTAAATACTTGGCTTTTTTCTGTTTAAATGTACCCTTTTTTTCCCGCCCCCCGGGGGATATGGAGTTTTTATTATCCTATCACTTCTGACCCTATACTGCCCCTATTTCTCTAATCCTATTTATCTAAACTCTTGTGCCTCTTTTGCACCTTAAAACGGTGTGCCTCTTTTGCACTTCTAAATCCTGTGGCTCTCTTCCTGTATATTCTTTTTTAGAGAGAGACCAGCATCCCTCAAGGTTCAAAAACGTCGAAAAACCTGACTATTGTTCTATCGCGTCCGATAGAATCGCCCATCACGGCGGTCTGGCCACGCTGCAATCATGCTGGGCCGAGATCTCTCTCTCTTCTATTTAAAACAATGTGCAGACTTTAGAAATGGTATCTGCTTACCTGTGTTTTGCAGTAGAGAGAGCCCCAAGACCCAACAGACCCAGTCTATCTATCTGAGCTCATCTTGCGTCTTCTTTCTGTATCAAATCACGTCTCGGGTCACCAAATGAAGCCAATAATTCCCTTTGGCTGGCGTGTCCACAATTTGGTACAGAAATCAGACTAAAGATTCTTCAAGGTTAACATCTGCATTTAATTATCTTTACAATCAGATACAGAATATTCAACAAAAAAATGCTCCTAAACTAATATGTCCCTCTCCTCTACCCCTGCGCTAACCTTCCCCCCAGAACTCAAACCAACAGTTTTATCAAGACGTCTGATGACGTCACTTGTGGGCGTCTCCCGAATGTTCTTTTCGGGTGTGCTGGCGTCCCGTGTCCACTGGGAGGCGTCAGAATGCCTTTGGAGAATCTCCCAGTCTGCCTGAGAGATGGTGTTTTTTGGACTTTTGGCCTCGCCAGAGAGACAAGAATGTTTATTCCTGGAGTTAATAATTTGTCCCGTTTTGAAAGTTGGTATCTCTATGACTGATTGTAGTTTCTCCATTTGACCCTCTTTATTCCTGTTTGCAATCCTTGTCCTTGGGGCTTTTCCCCGTGCACATTCTTCAGAGGGCCTATTTTCAAAATCATTAGTATACAACATTTTAATTATGCAACAACATCTATGGTATTATTTTTTTTATATGAACTTATCTTTTAATATTGAAATATGAGGATTTCTACCTTTAACTCTGTAGGGCGCTTGGCAACCATCTTTCTATGGACTGGTCCTGGTCTGTGTCGCCATCTTTACGGCGCATGGCGCCGTAAAGATGGCGCCGTGGCAAGAGCTCTGGTGTGTGTCGTCTGGTGCACACCGGGGTAGTCTTGCACAGTTTTTCCAATGTGGTTTTACTGCAAATGGCAAATAAATGAATCTGAATCTGGTCCTGGTTCACAGTTGTGTTTACTTTGTGTTGCTTACTAAAGAAACGCTGTATTTAGTTGTTCAACAAACCTTTTGATGTATTTCAGCATTTATTAAAAGTAAGAAAAAACATATAAAGGACTTACTTTTACATCAGTTGATAAACTAAACTTTTTTTGTTGTTTAGATGACAGCTCTGAGAGTTTGAGTAGTTTCAGAGTTGTAGGAGGCAGTTACTGCTGATACAGTATCTGCTTTCTCCTGGCTTTAATCACACTCCAGCGCCAGGGTTTTGGCTTCATGAAAATGGTGGATTCAACAGCAGACGAACCGCAGTGTGGGCTCCTGTGTCTTTGTCATTGTCAGACAGGAGAGAGGACTGGAGCGGGTGAGGGGAGAGAGAGGGGAGAGAGAGGGGAGAGAGAGGGGAGAGAGAGGGGAGAGAGAGGGGAGAGGGGGGGAGGGACCATGACACGCTGTCCAGGTTTACAGCGGGGATAGACCGGTGTGGATGACGCAGGAGGAGAGAGGAGCCTTGGAGGGATGGAGGGAGGGAGGGAGGAGTGCCCTGGTGAGAAGGGGCATTCTTCTCACCCACAGAGAATATAGCAATGTAATAAAAAAGATGTAAAACGATGTAATAAAAACCAAACTGTGTCTGAGATAAAATGCATTAAACGATCAACATCAGACACAGACGCAAGCAGAGAATGGGCAGAAAGTGTGAAAAATACCTATTCCACAAATCTCAACATCATCTGAGAACAGTTGAGAACAGACAAACAGTTTTGTTTGTCAAACGCTCCAGAGTGAAGACAGATACTGTACAACAATCTATCTACCCATTTATCTCTTAGATTTTGGAATCTGTGAATAAACCAGTTTACATTTATTCTATTCTATAATAAATTAGTGAACAATTATCTCTACAATAAATTCATTGCATTAATTACAGGTTCTTTCATAATCATTTGTACTGAACAAATAAGAACCAGGAAAGCTTTCATGGGTTCCATTCCTTAAAACAACATTTAGGATTTATTCCCAGTTTTTATTATTTAAAAACTAAAAAAACTCATGATTTCATAATGTTAGAAATCCTTTATTGTCACAGTGGGGAAATGTCAGTGTTGCATCACCAGTTACAGAACAAGATAAATGAACAATAACTCCATACTAAAAAATAAATAAAAACAGTTAAAACTTTAGCAAAATAAAGAAGGAAGGTGAAAGCCAGATCCCGCCAGACCTCTAAAGCTAAGCAGGGCAGGGCCTGTTAGTTCTGGGATGGGAAGATTTTGGGAACACCATCAGCACAGACTGGTTGCCTCGCTTCTGTCAGTGTGCCTCAGGGCAGCTGTAGCTACAATATAAGTTTAGCACAGTGTGAAAGAATAATGACATTTGTAGACACTTTGAGCATTATATAAAACCAATCCATTATTATAACCCTGTATTTTCTAATGCAAAAAATATGTTTGTATGTTTGCACCTGCAGCATGAGGCTCTGGGACAAACTGACTGAGTAAAGTGACAGTGAACACATGTGATTCTATATTGCACTTTCTGATGTTATTGCACAAATACAATCTGAATCCCGAAACCCCGAGTACAAACAGCCAGTGCAGCCGGCTCACATTTCCTTATACGTTAAATAATGGATTTATGTTCCTGAATGAGGGTGCAGCACGGTCACCCTCTCCCTCTCTCCCCCTTCATGTGACATCATCTCGCCCAAACAGCCAATCACACGCCTGCCTTCCGGACCAGCACTCCCCTTCCAGCCCCTCCCCTACTCCTCCGTCATTATATAGTCTTTGAGAATCCAGCCTTCGCCACACACACTGCTGCTGCTGGCGATGCTGCCGCGTGCGTCTCTTTGATGGAGCCACGGTAAGTCATTCTTCCGCGATCTTTGTGTAGGCTGTAATCTGTGAAAGCCGTTTTGTATCAATCCTTCCAAGCCTTTTCATCCTAATCCTAATCTATTCTCTGGGTTTTCAGTCTCAAACACATGCTGGCAAGTCTGGAAAGCCCACAGACTACGTTGTTCCTGGCATTGTCATTGAGAGACCTGGGATCTACCGTAATCCTGTTGAAACAATGTCGAGCCTGTGTACATTCTGTGTGGATTTAGTTTCTCCGTTCCTGTTAAAAACAATAAACAGGATGAAGCAGATGTAGAGAACTCCCTCCGTCACTACTGAACGACAAACAGGTAACCTCCAGCACAAAACAACACTTCTGGCATCAGTTTTCCAAGGACTTAGCTTTGGAAATGGGCTGCTCCTCCGGTCGACATCCCCCCGCGCCCGTGCTTCACCCCGACTTGGAAAACTATATCAACAGGAGCGAGACCAACGCGTTACCACAAGACTTCGAGAACCAGGGTCTGAACGGTCTGGTCGCCGACAGAGACCTCAGACCACCTCCGGTCCAGTCCTTACCGACCTTAGAGAGGTTAGCCCAAGCCACGGGAGGAACGGAGAAGTCCTGGTACCGCTGCGTGTTCCCGTTCGGGGTGATCTCGCTGGTGATCGGGATGGCGGGCACCGGGGTCACGTTCAGGTTCAACACGCTGCTGCAGACCAAGGTGGTGTCGGTGGCGTTGCTGTGCGTGGGCGCCGTCATGCTGCTGGTGGCGGTGGTGTGTTGGCGAGCCCACCGGCAGAAGAGGAGGAAAAAGAAAGAGGGGGGTTTCTTCGCCGCGGACCAAGGTACTTTGTGACCAGAGGACGAGACGGTGGGATCAGAGGCCCTTAGAACTTTGGGTCAAACAGAGAAGCACTTATGACTTCGGCAGGTCAAAGATTGCATTAAGTAACCACGACAACGATGGAGAAGAGTTCTTTCAGAGGGTTTGTTTGAAGAGTTCATTTGCAAAAACGTATTCCTCCCCAATCAAAAAGTTGTTTTCCTCTATCTACAATCATCAACATGTTTTATTATCGGCAGAACTCTGGGAAGAAGTGGTGAACGTTTATTTACATGAGATTAAAATAGATCTGGTTTTAAAATAACTACTTGGTTAAAGGGGAGCTGTGAGGCTTTCTCAAATATTTTTTCTAATAACTGCTTTTGCAAATGAACTAATCTGTTGCTTTCTATGATTTCTGTTTAATTCATTTAAAGTGGGCATATTGTGCTAAATGTACTCCTTATCAAAGTAGTTTTAAGGGTGATCCAGGCGTGTTAAGACTTTGTTGATTTTTCTTCATCATTGATTCACAAATCATTAAGCATCATTGTGTCGACACGTGAAAAATTAAAGGGTGCCACAGGGATTGACCGAGGGGCAGACCTATACACAGCAGTTTTCACCTGAATCTTTAAAAATTATAATGTTGATCTATTAAGCAGATATCAGCACAATATGTCTTCTTTAATACATCCAGTAAGAATCTCACCTGCATGAACTAATGAGGAGAAACATAAGAATTAAGTATTGCCACGTTTTCTCCACATTTGCATCTAAAGCAGTTTATTCCACTGATCTTTTTGGATAGAGACATAAATCCTGGATGAATCTGTTAAATATGAAACATGACTTCACCGTTGGGAGTTCCAGGGACGCTTGAATTTCCCCAAAAATAGCCTCTTTTGTGTGAAGAGCAGCCAACCAGAGGCAGAGTTACGTAACACACTATCATCCCCGAGCTGGAGGCCGTTCCTACAACTGACAGAAGACCTCTCTTGTCAACAACGTGATTTCCTAAAGGATCTGTCGTCAATCCATCCGACCATTCCATCTCCATCTGAAGCTGTCTCTCAATACTTGATTTTAACTAATTGGGAACAAGAACAGTATGTGTAGCAGGGGTCTCCAACCTACAGCTCAGGAGGTACCAGTAGCTCTCCACCTCTGTCTACGAGTAGCTCCCAAAGGATTTAGAAACAACATAAATATCCAGATTATTGTTAAAATGGACGATTCACAAACCAGCATTGTGAGACAGTATACACACTGCAGAAACTGATGAAATTTGGCAAAATGTACTGTATCTTCGTTTGAGTACATTTTCTCTGCCTTTTTGCCAATGGGACAAAGCAAAATGATCTTGTTCTAAAAAGATACAATAAATGTCTCTCTTGAAATGAGAAAATAAAGCAATAAAACTAAATGGTTTCATCCCATTAGCAAATCTTGTTTTAAGACTCAAATGAAGATACAAAAAACTCAGTTCAAGCGATTATTACCTCATATTTTATCATATTTTGCAGTGCACATAATGATTGTTGATAGTAACAGTCGCTCATCTAAGGCTAGAGCTCCCACCATTGAATAGACTTGAAAGGTTGGAGGCCCCTGATGTATATTGTTCCATTTATATCACTGAAGTCAGTAAAGCAGATGAGATTAAGACACAATATTCCACTGCCGCTGCCGCTAAGTTGTGTGCTTGGTTATTGTGTATCCATGGACCAGCTTTCCCAGGATCAATAGAAGTCCTCATTCCGCGAAGCATTGGCGTTCAGATTTAATGGGCTCCTTTCTCACAGCCTTCTGACAAAATTGCTTTTCTCTCTTCCTCCTCCCCTGCGGACATGTCTGCGAAGGCTGGTCGGCTTTTTGACGAGTTTATCCCATAAAACACAACCCATTGAAGTCAAAGCATTTAATTTTTCTATCAACAAATCTAAAATGTTTCTTGTAATCCGACTAGAGGTCCAATGTTGATGTCACGTATTATTTCGACTGTGTTCGCTGAATTGCTTTATGTGGAGAGATAGCATTAGGTTCGCTTCTCGGTCGTTGGTTTTACGAGTTTGTTATAAACTTTGTGACGTGTAGCTACAAGGACAACCCAATGCACTTATCCACCCACATCAAATCAATATTTTTATCCCATTGTTAACGAGAAGTTATTTTTGATGAGCTGAAATTTTACGTGCCGATAATGTAGCAGTTGGTAATTATTGATAACTGATGATGCTGGCTCAGCGGTGCCTCAGTGGTAGCAACAGTTTTATATTCTTTTCCAATTCAGAAACCTGATAGATGGATAGATAATAGATAATTATCGATATAGTATTTTTGAAGCTGTTTCTGAACCCATTATACTGTATTAATCAGTGTCCTTGTAGAGCCCAGGGATCCATCAGAATCCTATATATACAGAAATATTGACGTTTTTTGCACATTTCTTTTGAAGAAGACTCGTAGCTGCTGCCTAGAACAGAAGTAGCCACATTTTCTGAATGTACCTCCCACAGTAAGTGTCTTATACTGATCCGTGTATCCTAGATTGTAATTACTATGAGTATGGAATAGATACACTGCAAAAAATGACAAAAATTAGTATTAATTTTAATAAATGGTTTTTCTGACTGTCTTAAAACAATATTTGCCAATGGGACAAAGCCATTTAGTCTTATTTCAAGAACTTTATTGCTTTATTAGCTTATTTTCTCATTCCAAGGGAGACATTTCTTGACATATATTTTTAAAACAAGATCATTTTGCTTTGTCCCTTTGGTAAATCAGGGGCTACTGTAAGTTAGCACTGCTGCAACAACCTGGTACATTGCATCTCGTCTCTTGGCTAATGTTTACTGTACACTGTCCCTGTAAAAATAAAAATCATACCATAAAAGGTTTTTAGGCAGTCAGAATGTGCTCAAAATATGATACATTTTGCCAAATTGGAGTAATTTTTGATTTATTCCTCATCACTTTTTGCAGTGTATATGTGTGTATATCTATCTGTCCCTTTCTACGGTCTGGTTTACTGGTTATGGATATTTTGGTGACTTTTGTTAATGCTGTTATAATTATTCTTTACTTAATGGTGCTGTATGTTTTGATTTGACTGTTTATCAAATACTGAACCTTGAAACACCGTGTAATCTGACTTTCCCTGAATATGTTACTGAGAGAAGGACTTTCTTAGTGCCCCTTCTCCTCCGTTCTCTCAGTCTGCTCACAACACTTGGTGACACACAAACTGCCAAAATGAAGAAGCATTCTGCCATCCACGGACCTATAATGAGCAAATAAAGAATGATCAAGGGACTCATTGTGAATATAAAATGGTGTAATATCTTTTATCCATTAGATTTTAAGTACAGCCATTTGTATGAGCCTCTCTCTGCTTTTCCACCACTGTTTCACAAGTGGGCAGAAATGATTGAGATTTTAATCCACTGCCAATTGTCACGCAGTGAGATGAAGGAAGGACCCAAGGTATAAGAATGCAAAAAAAATGGTATATACAGTACAGGCCAAAAGTTTGAACACACTTTCTCATTCAATAGGTTTCTTTTCTTTTCATGACTATTTACAGTAGATTCACACCAGGCTGTGAAAGGGCTGTTTGACCAATAAAGAGAGTGGTGGGTGCTGGGCCAGACGACCCGGCCTCCACAGTCATCGGACCTGAACCCAATCCAGATGGTTTTGGGGTGAGCAGAGTGAAGACCATTCCATGTTGGAAGACTATTTCAGGTCACTACCTCTTGAAGCTCATCAAGAGAATGCCAAGAGTGTGTGAAGCAGTAATTAGAGCAAAAGGAGCTACTTTGAAGAACCTAGAATATAAAACATATTTTCAGTTTCATCCTTTTGTTTTTAGTACGTACATAAATCCACATTCATTCATAGTTTTGGGGCCTTCAGTGTGAATCTACAATTTTCATAGCCATGAAGATAAAAAACTCTTGAGATGGGTGGATGTGTCCAAACTTTTGGTCTTTACTGTATATAAACAAAGGTCTAATGTAAAAAACGAAATTCAAAAATGTATACCAGGAACCAGGAATACAGTCTAGCATAGACGGACCAAGGCAATGGGCCAGCAACAAGGGGAGAGGAGCACAGGTACATGTAGACACAGAGGGACACAGGTACATATAGACACAGATACATAGATACATAGAGACACAGGTACATAAAGACACAGAGAGATAGAGGTACATATAGACACAGAGAGACAGGTACATATAGATACAGAGACACAGGTACATAGAGACTGGATTTAAAATTGCTTTTTCAAACTGGCATGAGAATTACCTCCTGTTTTTAATGAGTGAATCACTGGCCCAAAAATATCTGCCACAAAACTGCCAAGTTTGATTCTGTTTCTGAGGCCGTCTGAACACGCGAAGTCCCATAGCAGTCAATTTGACTGCTTTTACACTTCCCTTAAGTGTAATGAGCTCCTGTACCTTTGTGCTCTTCACAACTGTGTGACTTCTATATGTTTCTATATGAAGTTAATTTCTACATCTTTATCTTGTTTTTTTGTTGTAATTCTTTATTGAACTCATTTTATTCTAAAATTAAAATCAAGCCATTTCTGTTTGCAGTTTTGGACTGGCCCTGGTCTGGTTCCGACCTGAGTCTTTAAACAGTTTAAGATCATATTAAAAGTGAGCAAACCTAATAAATTATTTACCTTCAATGAAACATTGTTTCTGAATCCTGGGCCCTTGTACCAGTTTTAGCACTTATTGAAAACAACTTCAACATTTATTAATTACGTACTTTTGACACATTTTGTTGGTATGGGAGCAGTCAAAATGGCGGCTCTGGGCGTTTCAGAATGATGGATTCCCAGTCTTAAACTTGGTAAAAGGTTTTGTATATATTTATATTTTCTTTTGTGCGTCAATGGTTTTGATGGTTTTGCTTTGAATGGGCTTCTTTCCCTGTGCCTTTCTCTTGGAACAGCGCCCCCTGTGTGTGAAGTGCAGTTATTGTTACACTCTAGCTCCAATGGTGCGACGTTA